TTGTTAAAATTGTATATGAGCCCCAGAGGACAACTGCCTCTTTGGATTTTTCACTTCTTTTCTGTGAAGCCCTCATGTACCTAAAATTAAAAATATTAGCATCAATAAAATATGTGTTTTTTCTTGTTAATTGTTCTTTTGTGAGTTTAATTATCTGACCCCAGTTATGAAAACCTAAATGTGTAGAGAAATAGTTTTTCCTTCCTTACACCTTGTGGTTGAAACAATAGCCACAGGGATCTCATGAGGCAATTTACTCTACCTCATGGATTCTCTGAAAGAATCCTGTAGCCCTCCCAAATGATTGCTGCTATCCACAGAGTAAACTCTGATAATAAAATAAGTATTGCTTGACAATAGCAATAGTAAACCAAGATTAGAGTTTAGACATTGTTATTTACTTCCGGTCCATTTCTGTCAACTACATAAACAGGCTAAAGTTCAAAAGTCATATCAAAATCTAATTTAGGGCCATAACTTTCAAACCATTAACATCAGAAGGGACCTTGGCAATCATAACAGTCTATAGTGGTTAGAAGTATGACCTTAGAAGACAGATAAATTCATGTTTCATGCCTACCATACATTAGCTGTGTGACTGTAGACTTCCCAGGCATCATTCTCCTCATCTGTACAGCTTACAGTTGATAATAACTAAGATTATGCAAGTAATGCACTTAACACAATGACTACATGTTTTAAATACTCAATAAATATGAACACTGATGCTAACGGTGAAAAAGAGGAAAAGAAGAAGAAATTATCCAACTTGCTATTTTACAAATAAGAAAATTAAGGCCCAGAGAGGAGAGATAACTTGTTAGAGACAATACAGCCTATTATTGCTGAAACAGAGGACAGAGTCAAAAATCTCTTTTTCACTATAAGCTACAATTTATGGTTCTTATTATGTGTCTATTTTGGCATTAGGTGCATTAAGATCAATAAAAAAAGAAATATAAAACATGGTCTTTAATGTCAAGAAATAAGATTTATCTATTGAACACTGGAAGAATATAAAATTTATGCCATGACTAACATTTATTTAATAAATATTACAGAAATTACATATGTCTGCAAAAAGTTAATGAAATTGAGAGAAAAAATTTTATACTATAATGCAAAGTTTAAAAGAAAATAACATTATGTGTAGATATGTAAGAAAGGAATAAAATTACACCAGAATAAAAGACACCAAAATTATGACAATGATTTTTTTCTCTAAGTGGTTTTCTTCTTCATCATGCTTTTAACATATTTTCCATAATTTCTACCAATGCACATATTACTTTTTAGAATTATAAGAAAGATATATTTTGTCTCACCAAGGGAACATTACATATAGTGGGAAAAGCGTCTATTCACAATAACAACTATAGCATATATAAAATATCAAGAAATACAATTTTAAAGAAGGTTATTAGACTTATATAAATAAAATGAAATAACCCATAAGACAATATTATATTGTACTACCTCCTATAAAAAATTTTCCATAAAATAAAGCTCTTCTAAACTTCATCTAGAATAATTCAAAAACTATAATAATTAGAAAAAAAAATTAAGACTAAAGAAAATACAGATAATTTTTCAGTCATCTGATTGACTAGGCTGAAATAGATGGACAACGCCCAGTGCTGGCACTTTTGGTGGACATGTACTACCTTTCTAAAGGAAAGTTTGGCAGTATGCATGAACATTTCAAGTGGGTATGCTCTCTGGCCTGTTGATTCTCAGTTGTTAGTAATTTAAGGGGATAATCAGACGTGCACAGAAAAGCTTGGAGAAGCATTGTTGTGTTCAGATAGAATAAATGAACAACCTGAAAACAACTAAACATGGCCACCATTAATTAAATTACTCAGTAAATAAATCATAGTTCATTCATACGAAGGAATTTTAAGTAGCCACTAAAAACTGTATGGCTCTAAACTCATGGCATTTTGTTAAAAGGGGAGATTACAAAATAACATGTGTAATATGTAACACTTATGTGAAATTACGAACACACTGAGAAATATTTGGGAAAAGGGTCATTTCACAATGTTGAGATTTTGAGTTTGGGGGTTTTGTTTGTTTCTTATTTATACTTTTTATTGTTCATTTTTCCCAATAAGCTTGAATCATGTTCATAATCAGAAATAAACTATAAAGCTCATTTCATGTTGGAAAAAAAGTAGTACTTTAAGTGAAGAGACAGAAAAACAATAGAGTGAGTCAATGTAATCTAAGGAGAAAATATGAATCTAAATCTTTGTTTTGGTAAATTACTTCAATCTCCTCCTTTGTCAAAACTTATCAAAGAGTCCAGGGAGTTAGTAAGTTGATTTGTTTACAAATGTTCTTTTTCTTCTCTTGAAACTATAGCAATTTTAATGAGCAGGAAAATGTCCAAAAAGGAAGAAAAATGGCTATCCAACTCTGGGTAAGATATGAAGGTAACTTCTCTAGGGTCTTAAGAGAAGGGAAAATAAGAGAATCTGAACCTAAAGTGAGATTTGGAGTCGGTTTGAGAAAGAATATTCAAGCTCAGAATCCCTGGAGATCTTTAAGCAGAGCTAGACCACTACTTGTCGAAGATGTTTTACAGGAAATAGACTTATCAGAGAAGGCATTGGAATAGATGACCTCTGAGTTACATTCTAATCTAAAACTGACTCTGTTTCTCTGTAGCACTTAAAAAAAAATAGTTCTCTAAGTACTGATCTGGAAACGTGCCTATAGGAGATTCCAAGAAAATGGTGGATTGAATGCAATTCCTCTACTCTCCTTCTCAATTCAAATCATTTTATCTCATTTATATCAAAGGCTGGGACTCTAGTGGCTGAGTGCAAATTTGCAGGAGACCCAGGGAGCACACAATTTATCAGCCTTTGTTAAAATTATATATAAGCTCCAGAGTGTAACTGCTTCTTTGGGAGAATAAAAGGGAAGGCTTTCTTTGTTATGTACTGGAAAGACATATTAAGACTACTATCAGAACAAGGAAATAAAGGTTTACTTCTCTTAAGGAAAAAGAGTGAGAGAGAGAGAGAGAAAGCCTTGGGAGAAGGGTTTCAACTAAAATGTGGATCTTGGGAATGTTTGACTTACAGAGATTTGTGGACCCAGGGGACACATAAACAGAGGCCCTAGTGTCTACCAGATCTCTCAGGCTCCTCAAAAATATTTTAACAGGTGAGCGAAGCATTCCCACCCTTCAGGCTGAGTGAGTACAGGAGACAGGAAAGCAGGGAGATGTACTCCAGGTTAACAACACCTCAGAGCAGCGTAGCAGTCAGAGACAGAAAGATCAATCAAAACAAACAAAACACAGAACCAACCTTTGATAGATGCTGGAAGAGACAGATGACAATTTGAAAAGGAAAAAAAATAAGAGCTTAGGGATATCTGTGTATACTTCCTTTACCTTCTACTTTCATTCCTCAAGAGGACTTTCCAGAAATAAAAGAAATAGTTTCCAACTAAATGATTTAGGAGATGAATTAAAGGAGAAGATGTTCAAGATCACTGTTGAGACATGATTTAGTGGCCGAAAAAAATTTAGAGTATGAAGAAACACATAAAAAGATAAAAATCACAAGACAAAAAAGATGAAAATGAATTGGAAGAAGACTGAGAGATTTAACATACAAATCAAAAGAGCTCTAGAAGATGTGTTTTTTAATTACTATGGATGCATAATAGTTGTACATATTTGTAGAGTACATGTGATATTTTGATATAAGCATACAATATGAAATGATCAAATCAGGATGATCAGGATATTCATCACTTCAAGGATTTATCATTTCTTAGTGTTAATAACATTTCAGTCCTACTCTTTTAGTTATTTTGAAGTGTACAATAAAGTATTGTTAATAATAAGATCAATTGTGCTACCAAACACTAGATCTTATTCTATTTGAGTGTATTTTTGTACACATTAGCTTTTCCCTCTTTATCCCACCTCTCCCTATTACCTTTCCCAGCCTTTGGTAACCATCATTCTACTCACTATCTCCATGAGTTCAGTTTCTTTTTTAGCTCTCACATTTGAGTGAGAACACACAATATTTGTCTTTCTGTGCCTTGCTTATTTCACGTAACATGTTATCCAGATCTATCCATGTTGCTGCAAATGACAGGATTTCATTTTTTTTTATGGCTCAATAATATTCCATTGTGGGTATGTACCACATTTTCTTTATCCCTTCATCTGTTAATGGACATACAGGTTGATTCCATATCTTGGCTATTGTGAATAGTACTGCAATAAAGATGAGTGTGCAAGTATCTCTTTGATATCCCAGTTTTCTTTCTTTTGGATATATACGAGCAGTGGGATTGCTAGATTGTATGATAGATATAAATAGAGACAACAAGAATTCAAAAAGTTAGAGGGATGGAGTTAAATTGTAGAGTCTTTTGTTTTGTTTTTGTTTTTCTGATTTCAAGTTTATTAAAACTTTAGCAGTACAAATTATCCAGATTGCAGATTATCAAAAGATCAACTCAGTGAAATCCACATTAAAAAAAGGGGCAAACATTAAATAACCCAAAAACAATGAAAAGGAACAACATAAAGAAGATTCACTACAAAGTCTCTCAAACTTAAAATTCAAAACAGAATGGAAATAAGTTTATATAACTCATTCATCCACTTTTGTCTTCATCTGTTTCAGGGCTTGATTCATGATCACATTTTTTATTTCTTTCATGTACACGGTCAATTTCTTGACCCTTTGATTCTTGGTTTTCTTTTTCCACTGAGGATCTGATCTTCTCATCCTCCTTATTTTTCAATGTGGAGGACTTTAATTCATTGTTCTGACTGCTTTGTTTTATTTTTGAGGAGGGACTTTGATCTATATCAGCCTTTTTTCCCCCTGCTATTATTTGAGGTTATTACGATCTCGACTTTTACAGTACATTCTTTTCTCACTGTGTGAACTCTTACTTTTCTGTGTGAACTCTTACTTTCTTGGTTTCTGTATTTTTCTTGGTTTCTGTTTTTACCTTCTTCTCTCTCTGAGCTCCGTGGGTCTCTCCTCCTTCTCCTCCTATCTTTACTTCTTAATCTTCCTGGTGGTGTTCTTCTCCCTCGGCTTTGTGACTACCCTCTTCTCCCGTATTCCTGTTCTCTGTATCTATGGTACTTCTTTCTTCTGCTGCAATCTCTGTCATGGCTTCTTGATCTCACTCTTCTTTTTCTGTCCCTACTTCTGCTTTGCTCTCCTGTTCTGCTATTATAACTGTGTTTATGTTGAGTTACATCACATTCTCTACTCCTGGATTGTGTACATCTATCCTTTTCCTTAGTTTTACTATGATCATGCTCATTACTCTTTGATTCTAACTGTTTAGACTTCTCTTTACTTCTACCCCTTTCCTGATCTTTTCCTTTAGAATCAGGCTGCTTTACTTTTTCTTTAACATTCTCATGATCCCTTCCTTTGCTCCTTGATCTCATCCTCTTTTCTTCATGTCTATTATGTTTTGAATATCCTTCTTTACTCTTTGATTTCTCTTTGCTCTTACTCTTAATTTTAGATTTGTCCCTTTACTTTGTTTGTATTATATTTATCATCTTTTTCTGAATTTCTTCTGATGTCTCTCTTTGCTGTTAGATTTACAGTCTTTAACTTTATTTTCCTTTCTATTTTTTCTGTTTGGACTCTCAAATACATTCCTGTGGTTAGTTATTTTTCTCTCTTTTACTCTAACTGGACTTCTCTGATTTTCTTTTATTTCACTCAGCTCACTCTTATCCCCTTTGATCCATCTTTCACCACTTGATACCCTCATTCTTTGAGCTCTCTGCATCTCTTGCCTCCAATGTGCAGGAGTCTCACTAAGGCTGAAACAATCCCTTGATCTGGATCTGGAAGAGTTTGATAACACCTTGATCCTCTTCCTTTAATTTTCCTGCCAGATCTAGTAACTAAAAGTCATCTCTGGTATGAAGCAGGCTGGGAGTTAGATGGATTACATTCTCTTTCTCTTTCCCCCTCTCTGGCTTTTCCTTTCCATTTCATCAGCTTTAGGAGGGCTTTTTCTCATTAGGAATCTATTTTCAGGTACTCCCTCTTCTGGACAGACAGTAGACTGGGGTTGTGCTTTAAGATTTTCAGCTTCACTCTCACTAGATGCACTCTTCTTGCTTTTCTTTCACTTCTTCTTTTCCTTCTTGTGTTTTTGGGATTTTTTCCCAATTTTTTTTTCCTTTTCTTTGATTTCTCTTCAGAAGCACTTTCGGAATCACAGGAATCAGGTGAGAACTGAGAATCACTTGAGCTATCTTAGTCACTAGATGAGGAGGAGGAAGATGATGATGATTTATACCTTTTCTTTTCGTATTTCTTAACTTTAGATTTGGGAATCACCTCTCCACAACTGAGTATCTGTACCTCTGTAAATGCTTTGCTAGCGGCATCCGTCTTGTGGTTTTCTCTCTCTTACAACTTCTTGGCTAGAGATTACTTGTCCAAAAACAACATGACACCCATCTAAATGAGAAGTTGGTTTCGTTGTTATGAAGAACTGTAAACCATTTGTATCCTTCCTTCTGTTGGCCATTGACAAGAGAAATTCTTTGTTGTTTTTGACAGCAAAATTCTTGTCTTCAAAAAATCCTTCTTAGGTAGATTCCCCTCCTCATCCATTTCCTTCACTGAAGTCACCACCTTAAACCATAAAGTCCTTGACAACTCTGTGAAAGAGACAACTCTTATAATGTAATGGCTCTGAGTTGATTTCTCTGTCCCCTTTTCACCTGTACAAAGACAACTAAACTTCTCACTTGTTTTGGGGCACACATCAGAAAATAATTCAAAGACAACTCTTCCAGCAGGTTGTTAATGACAATGTCAAAAAAAAAAAAAAAATCGAGGACATTGAAACTTTGTTCCTGTGCCGGTAGAGTTTCCTCTTCTTTGGTCCAGTCCTTTAAACCGTTTCATATCTACCCCTGCCAGAAAAGGAGCTAAAGTCCGCTAACTGCCTCCCTCCCTGACAGTTCAGTCCTAATTGTTGAGGTGTTTTTTGTTTTTTGTTTAGTTTTCTCTTTATTTGCTTGTTTTTCTATTCTTTGTAATCAGAGTGGTCATCAGTTTAAAACAATTGATTATAAGATGTTATTTGCAAGCCTCACATTAACCACAAAACAAAAACATGTAATACACACAAAATAAAAAGCAAGAAATTAAAACATACTGTCAGAAAAAAATTACTTTTATACAAAGGAAGTCAGGAGAAAAGGATAAAAGAAAGAGAGGATCAACAAAACAACCAGAAAGCAAATAAAATGGCAGTGGCAAGTCCTTGATTATCAATAATAACACTGAATAGAAATGGGGTAAATTATAAGTTAATCAAAAGACATGAAGAGGCTGAATAAGTTACACACACACACACACACACACACACACACACAAGACCCGACTATATGCTACCTACAGGAAATTTACTTCATGTATTAAAACAGAGATGGGCTAAAAATAAAGAAATAGAAAAAGACAATTCAGGCAAATGGAAACCGAAAAAAGCAGTATATCTACTTATCAGACAAAGTAGATTTGAAGACAAAAACTGTAAAAAGAGATAAGGTCCTTATATAATGATAAAGGGGTCAGTTCATCAAAAGGGATTTAACAATTGTAAGTACATACGTGGAAAATATTTGCATTTGAAATACAAATAAAAGGAGTCTCAGAAAAGGAAGAAAGGTAAAAATTTAAAAATTTTTAAAAAGACTGAAAATCTATAACTTTAATGAATTTCTAATCAAAATTTAAACAGGGTTTCCACAGAAATAGAAAAATGGATTTTAAAATTTATACAGAAATGCAAACACTTTGGAATAATTAGTGAAAATTCTAAATAAATGATGAAGACTACTCAAATGAGAACAACCAAAGTCTATTCATTTGGAGCTTGCTATAGTAAGAGAGTCAGCCACTACCACTTGTTTTTGGCAGAAATACAAAGCAGGCAAGGCAGTTGGAATAGCTATAACCATTATAATAGCTAAAATTAAAAAGCTTGAAAATAGCATGCATTGGTGAGGATGTAGAACAAATAGAACTCTTATAACATAGCTGGTAGGAATGTAAAATAGTACAACCACTTGGATATCAGTTTGGTAGTCTCCTAAAAGTTAAACATAAACTTACTGTACTGCCCAACCATTCTACCTCTAAATAGTTAACAGAATTAAAAATATATTTACACAAAACATCATACATGAATGTTCATAGCCAATTTATTTGTAATTGCTAATAATTAGAGATAATTAAAATGTCTCTCAACAGATGCATAGTGTGAACGGAAAATAAATCTTGGGGCCCCAAAATCACTAAGCTAAAGGGAAAAGTCAAGATGGGAACTGCAGAAGGCAAACCTGCCTTCCCATTCTATTTAATCACCCTTCTGCTCACTGAGATCAATGTATATCTGATTGCCTCCTTTGGATAGGCTAATCAGAAACTCAAAGAATGCAACCATTTGTCTCTCACCTACCTGTGACCTGGAAGCCCATCCCTGCTTCCAGTTGTCCTGTCTTTCCAGACCGACCCAGTGTTCATCTTGCATATGATGATTGACTTCTGATGTTTCCCTAAAATGCATAAAACCAAGCTGTGCTCTGACCATCTTGGACATATGTTGTTAGGACCTCCTGAGGCTAAGTCGCAGGCACACATCATCAACCTTGGCAAAATAAACTTTCTAAATTAACTGAGACCTGTCTCAGATATTCAGGGTTCACAGTAGATAAACAAAATGGGATATTTTCATCCAATAGAACATTCTTCAATAAACAAAACAATCCACACAGATAACAAACAAATTCTGAATTAAAGGATCTGAATTAAAGAATTTACATGGCACATACTCTAAAATTGACCACATAACTGGACATAAAACCATTCTCAGCAAATGCAAAAGAACTGAAATCATACCAAACACTCTCAGGTCACAACACAATAAAAATAGAAGTCAAGACAAAAAAATCACTCAAAACCATGCAATTCCATGGAAATTAAACATGTTCCTGAAAGACTTTTGGGTAAATAATGAAGTTAAGGCAGAAATCACAAAGTTCTTTGAAAATAATGAAACAAAGATACAACATACCAGAATCTCTGGGACACAGCTAAGATGGTGTTAAGAGGGAAATCATAGCACTAAATGCCCACATCAAAAAGTTAGAAAGATCTCAAATTAACAACCTAACTTCACAACTGAAAGAATTAGAAAAGCAAGAACAAATCAACCCCAAAGCTAGCAGAAGATGAAAAAGAACAAAAATCAGAACTGAACTGAAAGAAATCGAGACACAAAAGGTCATTCAAAAGATCAACAAATCTAGGAGTTGGATTTTTCTGAAGAAATGAATAAAATACACATACAAAATGAACTTCTAATTTACAATTACAAGGTAAAGATAGAACAGAGGGGGGAAGAAAGAAAAACAAATTCTGCAAGAAAAAGTAGGTGACTTTATACACAATCTCATGGTAAAGCAGATTCCTTTATCTAAAACTAGAAAATAAAGTGTTCTAAAAACCATTTCTAGCCATATAAAAGTTCAAACATTTATAGCAAAAGACATAATCTTAGTCCATTCAGGCTGCTATAACAGAATACGAGAGATTGGGTGCTTTATAAACAACAGAGATTTATTTCATACAGTTCTGGAGGCTGGGAAGACCAAGATCATGGCACTGGCAGATTTGGTGTTTGGTAAAGGCCTACGTCCTAGTTCACAGAGGGTCATGTTTTCACTGTGTAATCACATGGTGGAAGGGGTGAACAAGCTCTCTGGGGCCTCTTTTATAAGGGCACAAATCCCATACTTAATGGGACTTGATACATTCCCAAAGGGCCCATCTTCAAATATCACCACCTTAGAGATCTGGTTTCAACCTAGGAATCTGGAGGGATGCAAACATTCAGTCCATAGCAAACACTATAATCAAATTCTAATGCTGAAAAGTGAAAATGGGTGCCTGCAATGTATTTTTAATCTCTTACATTGACAAGAAGGAAAATTTCCAAGAGAAAAGTATATGAGATTGTGAATAGGAATTCACAAAAGGACAAATCCAAATAGCCAATAGAATATAGAAAAAGGCTTAAAATCTGTACCAGTCAGGAACATGTGAACAACTAATCCAACAATGAGTTATGATTTTATAAACATTAGACTGGCAAAAGACCAATGACAGTTCTTACTAGTAGAGACTTGGGAAGGAAACGTTTATTCTTGCACACTTCTGGTAAAATGTAAATTATTCCTATTTCTGGAATACATTCTAGAAACATTTATTACAATTAAAAATATATACACTCTTGACTCAGTAATTCTACTCTTGGGAATTTGTTCCATAAAAATAATAGTTTCACTACATAAAGATATATTTTTAATGATGTTTGATGCAACATTGTTTGAAGTGGAGGGGAAAAGGAAGATAAAACAAACACCGAACAAAAAAATCCACCAATTGAAGAAAGGTTGACAAAATTGTAACCATTCACACCATAAAATAGTATGCTGCCATGATAAGTAATCAGTTAGAACTTCAACAAGATTTCACTGATGAAAACGAGATCCAGAGAAGTCTGCGTGTCAGTTGAGAATGTGTTTGATTGTAAAGAAAAGAAAACTCACTGATCATGGTTTAAGCAAATTGGGGTTTATTTTGGAAATCCAAAGGTCAGCAGTTGCTGGTATTAATTCAGCCACTGAAGATGCTATCAGGCACTCAGCCTGGTATTTCCATCATGCCACCATTAACATTATAGCTTTTATCCTCACATGTGTCCCATCAAGGTCCAAAGATTATATTGTCATTTCAGGTTTTATTTCCACTTTCCAAGAAGGATCAAGGGACAACAACAACAACAATAACAGTCAAATTTATCCCATTTATTAAGAAAGAAAACTTTCCTAAAAATCCTTGCAACAGATTTCCTCTTGGGTATAGTTGACCAGCACAGGGACATTTGCCTGTCCTACCCCTCAGCACCAAAGATGTTTGCTGTGACTTCAAATGTTAAGCTTTCCAGCCTCTATTAGTAAAGGAAGGGTCAGGAAAAGATATTTTATAATTTGCATATATTGTAAAAATATATTTGTATACTATAATCTTATTTTTATAAATCAATGACAAAATTCTATGAATATGCATATGTATTTTTATCTATGATTATATGAGCTTGAAGGAAAATATAGACATATACACACTAAGCCTTTATGTGGATTTCCTCAAGATAGGTAATATGGATAGAGAAGGCATGAAGAGAGAAAGCAAGCCAAAAAAAATTGTTAACTATGATGTGATCTTATGCATGCATTTAAATGAGATATATATATATAAATATTTATACATATTTTAAAAATGTTTCCAATGTATCTTTAAAGATAGTAATTTACATCACAGTATGCATAATGAGGAATATTTCATTTGTTATAAAATACATAAACTTATATGTGCCTGGAAAAATAATATCCAACATTCATTGAGCTCTTACTTTGTGCCATACATATTTATACAAATGACTTACCTATTTTAATCCTCTCAACAATGCTATAAGCAACTGGTGTTATCCCCACTTCACAGATATGAAAACTAAGGCTTAAAGGAGTTCAGTGGCTCACCCAAATAACACAACAGGTGAGTCAAAGAACATACATAATATTAACATCGCTCACCTCTGAAAGTGGAATAAGGATAGGTTTGGGGAAAGAGGAAGAGAGGTATACACTTTTCCCTTTATTTATATAGAACATTCTCACTATTTTTTGATGAGTTTGTGTTTTATAAACAAGTTGAGATTTAAAAAAAAAATTGCAGCCAATTTTATCCCATTTATTAGGACCTACACTTAACCATAGAAGTGAGGAAAGTTTATTTCCTTTTCTATACCATTTCTATATTTAAATTTATTTTCTCCACTTACTTCCCTATATCATTTTTTCTTTACTTTTATTTCTGCCTCCT